CACCCCTCAGAACCACCCCTTCCTGGGGTCAGCCGTTCTTTCCACTCTTAGCATCTACAAACATGAAATGGTCCCTCAGAAGCCCTGAAAGGCTTGTGTTCCCCCATAGACTGCATCCTGCACAGCACAACACTTAATATTTAATTTTAGGACTTTTTTGAGATTCTACAAAGCCCAGGTTTCTTTAATTCCTTCCCGCAAGAAAGAATAAGGACACCTTGGTAGACAGACACACTGTTGGGAAGGAAGTTGAGAATGTAGCGCCCAGAGCTGGCGTAGTGTAGAAGTGGGCTTGTCGGGGGTGGAGTCAGACCTGCCACAGCATTGAGGTTAGTTAGAATGGCATCTGGACACTTTCCCCTGTGGAGGACTGGGTAGCAGCTACCCAAGCTGTCTAGAATGTGGATTTGCTTGTGTTTCATAACTTGAAAAAACCAAAACTGAATGTCCTAGTTTGCAGTGAAAAAAAAATCACACCTTTTTTTCTGATATAAAAGAAAGACCCTAATTCAGTGGTTCCCGACCTTCCCAATGCTTCCACCCTTTAATACAGTTCCTCATGTCGTAGTGACCCCCAGCCACACAATTATTTCATTGCTACTTCATAACTGTAATTTTGTTATGGTTATGAATCATAATGTATATATCTGATTTATGTGGGATATCTGACATGTGATCCCCTAAGGGATCTGACACTCTTGACAACATGAGACACACCTGTAGAGAGATGGCATGTGCTGGAGGGAAAATTGAAGAGATTTGACCTTTTTCCCCTCCCAGGAAACCCAGTGTGGCTGGTGTTTGAGTGTGGATTTGAAGCCAGGGGTGATGGGCATAAAAGTCAAAGGAACGAAATTTGAAAGAAACCTAAAAAAAAAAACATGAAACACAAAAAATAGACCAAAGACTTAGGGCAGCAGGGTTCTGTGGATCTCTTTACCACAGACCCGGGCAGTACCCTCCCTGCCCTCTCTTACCCCCTACCTGATGGTTTCAGAGCACTTGTATCGGGGACCACGTGTTTTCAGGATGTGGTAAGTTACCTGTTGCTATACAACAAATACCCCCTCCCACGTTTAACACCTTAAAGCAACAGAGACTTGCTATCTAAGAGTGTCTGTGATTAAGTCAGCTACCCCAGATGGCTCTAGTCTAGAATGTCTTGTGAACTCAGTCAGGGTGCCAACTGGGCTGTAGTTCTTGAAGGCTTGACTGGAGCTGGAAGATAGCCCATCTCCATGGCGGTCAGACTCTTATGTCACCCTTCTGAAACTGTCTATGGAGGAGTTAAAGGATGTGGTTGCTGGGGTCAGCAAGCTGGGTCCTGTTTTCACAGAGTTCCAATACCTTCACAAAATAAGTAACTCAGACCAGAGCAGGGAGCAGGGCAGGCCCAGGGCACATTTACTCTAGAGATGAAGGTCAATATTCCTTGAACTTCATGTATAGAGAGAGGGGGAGGGAAGAGGTTATAAGAAAACTATGGGTGTTTGGGGGACAGTCTAAAATAAACAATTGCATCGCCATGTCTGCTTCACCATTGAGCATATCTATCGAATACACCATGATGGAGGGATGGAGGATTAACAGTAACCAAGCCTGTTCCTGCTCCTTCCAGAGTTTTCCTCATAACCCTGCCTCATCCCTCACTCCACATCAATAAAAGGAAACCTCAAACTCAACAAATCTAAGATCCATCAGGCCCTTGTTACATCAGGCCCTGATCAAAGCTGCCTGCTTTTAAAGTCAACCCTACTTTACAGCATGATTCAAAGGAGGACCCAGGGGCCAGCAGAATGACTCTGTGGGGAAGGGTGATTGCTGCCAAGTCTGGTGACCTGAGTTCAAATGCCAGAGCCCACATGTTGAAAGGAAAAGAAACTTCTACAAGCTGTCTCCTGGCTTCCACAGGCATGCAATGATGTGCACACCATACTTCCCCCAACACACAAAACAAACAATAAATACAAAAGAGGACCTAAATCTGTAGCAGATTAAAGTAAGAGATCTTGTCCCGGCAGTTCCAAGCCCCCTTTCTGTGTAACCTTAAGTGAGAGACTCTCCTTCATTTCCTTCTCTGTGACATTGAAGGGACTGGCTGTGCCATCTCCATGTCCGGTGATAGAGTGAGGACTCTTAACATCTAAACACCAGGACCTTACATGTCCCATGACTGAGAACAGGGGGAAGGTGGCAGGGTTTGATACATTTTTATGAATAGGTTGGCATTCCCATTGCAGGCTTGGCGGAAGTATGACACAGACAGAAGTGGCTACATCGAAGCCAATGAGCTCAAGGTATGATGGATGGGCCTTAGGGATGGCATACAGGAGGACATGGAGAAGAAAGAGTGAGGCTAGAAGCTTGGTGGATCTAAAGAACCAGGGAGAAAGGGGTGTTGGGTGAGGGACTTGGGTTTGTGGTCTCCTCAGAGGTACTTGATCCTGGCACAGATGTTGGACTTCTTTGGAGAAATCCTGTGCCAGCAATGGGGAGCTTCAGGACCAGGCATTCAGCCAAACCAGACTCCTCCGCATCCTAGGGTACAGTATAGGTACTCCTGAGGAAATTACAGAGGATTGGCCATCTAACTTAAGCATCCACTCCAGTTCCTCTGGGAAATCAGTGATCCTTGGGCACAGCTGGGCCCTGTGTATTGGGTTCTGAGGAGGGAGTCAAAGCCAGTCTCTACGGCCTACTCTACAGTCAAAGTTGTATGTACCCAGGAGCCACTAAGAGGACTTTATGGTCATACCACAAATGATAAGGGGTTAGGGGAGTAAGAGAAGTGTAAGCTATGCATTGGTAGAGCTCAAAGATCAACTTGGATTGTGTAAATGAATATGTAAGCAAGTGAGTGGGGCTGAGTGAGCAAGTCAGGCTCTGAAGAGGCCTTTGGTGTTCCAGGGGTTCCTGTCTGACCTCCTGAAGAAAGCCAACAGGCCCTATGATGAACCTAAGCTCCAGGAGTACACCCAAACCATAGTAAGTGTTGGCATTGCCCCTCCTTCTGGTGTGCAGAGTCCTTTCTTTGTTGATGTTTCATGAGGTCTATGTGCAGTGGCTCATGATAGCAAGTGCAAGTTCATAGCTGCACACATCATTGGCTGTCCTCACTGAGTTGACTCCAAAACCACAGTGATATTGGGGTAGGGGGTTCTCTGTTTCCATGGGAACTGATAAAGCTCCAGGAGAAGATGAACCTTGAGAGGGAGGTCTTCAGTAATGGCTGCTGTGTCTCACCACTCCCAGAAGGGGAGAGATAGCTGGTACTGAATCCTCACTGTCTCCCCCAGTGACTGACTTAGGCCTCGCTGATCCCCAGCTTCAAGTGACCCCAGTGGAAATGATGGCAGGTGGAGGCCCTTATGTGAGGAGGTGAAACAGATAACCCAGCCATCTCTTTCTGTTCCCAACAGCTGCGGATGTTTGACTTGAATGGAGATGGCAAACTGGGCCTCTCAGAGATGTCCAGGTAAGTACTTTCCACACCCCTGGTGTCACTTTAAACAGGCCTGTGCTTCTGTCCTTATCTGAGCCCAAACAATACCATCTAGAACTAGAAATTTTGATACCACACTTCACCCATTTCTTTTATTTTAAAAATCCCAACCAACTCCTGACTATAAAGTGCTCAGTGATCGTTGCCATGGCTACAGATGCTGCCTCTCTACCCTGCTCCCAATCTGAGTGGCTGCTGCCATTGGCATATCCTCTAATCTCTGCTCTAATGTTTTCTTCCAGACTCTTGCCAGTGCAAGAAAACTTCCTGCTGAAATTTCAGGTACAAACGTCTCTTTGCTTTCTTTTGTCTCCCTCCATTCCTCTCATATCTCTGAACTTAGCCTTCTGGCTTCCTTTGCCCCCCCCCCACACACACACACAGAGGAGAGAGAGAGAGAGAGAGAGAGAGAGAGAGAGAGAGAGAGATGGAGAGAGAGAGTCAGTCATGATTTTAATTCTTAATTCTTTGGTCTTTCCAGGGTATGAAGCTGACCTCAGAAGAGTTCAATGCCATCTTCACTTTTTATGACAAGGTGAGAGGGAACAGTACGGGGTAGGAAAGCAGAAGCCCTATTACCAGTGGTGGCAATGGCCAGAACTGCTTGGTCTGTAGGAAGAGACCAGCTTTCCAGAGGGGTCTCTTGGGCCTGAGGGTTCTTTTATCTGGTATTTGGAAAACAAATGGCATTGATTCCTGACCTACAGGAACCCACAGATTTGATTTCTTACAAATGTAATAGAAAAACAGGTTTGGGGGTTTTGTTCCTTTGTTTTTTAACAGTTAAAGAAGGTTGTGGTCATGACGTGGCAGTTGAGCCAGTTTTTTGTTTGGTTGCTTTGCTTTTTCATCTTTTTTTTCTTTTTTTTAAATTGCTTTGGTTCCAATTTTGACGCAGGGTCTTGCTATGTAGCCTGGGATGCCTTCAAATTCTTCATCCTCCTGTCACAGCCTGTTGGGTGCTGGGATGACAGGTTTGGGATGTTTGTGCCACCATACATAGCCCAGCCAGTTGTTTTCTGGGACTTTGGGAGTGAGGATCATCTAGCCCCACCCCAATCTTAATTGTCCCCTGAGCTCTGGTGGTCTCCTTTATAACCAGAGCATTGGGGGCTGAATAGCTAATTCAGTTAACTTTAATCTTCTGGGTACTCACAATGCAAATAAGTACTATCAAAAAAGGAGACCAAGAGTTTGTATTGAATGATTGACTGGTGTTGACAGAAAGTGCATTATTCTGTCCTTATATGGTCTGAACACTTCTCTTTGCACAGAGAAATGGGAAGATTAGACACCACACACACACACACACACACACACACACACACACACACACACACACACACACACCAAAGCTTTTGAAATTAGGTGGGGGAAGGAGCTGTTGTGGTCAGGGTGACTGGGGGCTGGAGCTCAAAGGGCTGTGCTGACAACTCTCGGCTGCCACCCTCAGGATGGAAGCGGCTACATTGATGAGAATGAGCTGGATGCCCTCCTGAAGGATCTGTATGAAAAGAACAAGAAGGTGAGGAAATGAGCCCAGAGTGGTGTGGGTCCGATGGCTGGGAGAGGTTGAGAATGGATTCTCTCATCTCTGATCTGTGGTGATAAGTCAGTGGCAATTTGTGGGCTGGGCTGTGTTTTTCAGGTTGATTGATCTAACATAACAAAGTTCATCATTGTAACCATTTTAAGGACTATCGGATAGAGCTAATATATCCATCACACTGTGTAAGCAGCATCATGCCCGCAACCCTCGTCCTGTAAAGCTGAAACCCCACACCCATAGCAACCCTCTCTCCCATCTCTAAGTGTACTGCAGTCTGCATCTGCAGATTTCACTGCTGCAGGTACCAAATAGAAGGGGAGTTGTATGATCACTTGGTGGTTCGTTTCACTCAGCATGCCCGTGTTGTAGCGCTTCAGAATTATCCCTTTTGAGCTGAGTGATAATTGCCTTCCATGCGCAGACCGTCTTGTCTGCCCGTTTGCCACCTATACCCATGTATTGCTTCTGTGTGTTGGCTGTTGTGGATCATGATACTGTGGGGGCACGGGCGATGCTGAAGTAGCCCATCCTGTAGAAGTCCCAGCCACATGGCCATCATGAAAGACTTTTAACACAGACAGAGAATTTGGAGGGCAGAAGCCAACGGTGGTGAGGACTGTTCCAAACTCATTACCTGCAGAACCTGGGGCTGGGGAAGAGGCTAGAGGGGAATCACCGGTGTCTCTCAAAGACCAAGAAAACCAGCAGTTTTGTGCCTGGCACTGCCTCTTGGCAATGAAGCCTCCAGAACCCTGGATGGGAGGGATCCGGTGGAATGGCGACCAGAAGGCAGGAGCCTTTGCCGCTGTCTTCCATCACCTCCCAGAAGATGGCTTTCACATAGAAAATTACTGCTTTCTTTAATTAGATGACAAACGTTCTATAACTTCTAGAGCTGTCCAACTGCCTCGGCTGCCAAATAAGAGCTAAATTTAATGCTCAGCTTCAGGGGAAAAAAAATCACTGCAGCCTCTGGGTCCATTTGTCTCTCTTTGCAAGTATTTTTCTGAGTAGCAGCCTTCATTGATTTCATCCTACATTTACATTTTAATGTAGGAGATGAGAATTCAGAAGGTTCCTGGGAAGAAGAAAGCCTTCCCCAAAGCCAGTATTACAACTCAGTAACCCTTTTTCCTGACACTGTATCCCAACAGCAAGTCATTTATGTAGCCATATGTGCTCCAATGGATATTAGAAAGCTGAAAAGAAAACCTGTCTTTGACTTAAATTGCATTGATGAAGCATAATTAGTCTTTATAAGGTCATGCCTAATACTGGAGGTTGGTAAACCCCAGAGTGACCTGCATTTCGTGGTCATCAACTCACTGGGCTCTTTCTTAGTTAATATGAAGGACAGAGCATAAAACTGTACAGGTTGCCCCAGATATGCAGACAGAAGCAAAGGGCCAGGTGCTAGAATTTGGAAGCAACCCTGAAGGTTGGAGAACAGGATATTTACATCGTAGGAGCCTTCTGTGTGTGCCAGGCCCCAGACTTGGCACCTGAGTGTTAAGAGAATGATCAGCAAAGAGAAAGAGCTGCATGGCTAAATTCCCGCACCTGAGCGGGGATGGGACAAGGCCATTTTTGGTGGGCTACGTAGCAGGTGCAGCCTCATTTTAATGGTACCTGCATGGGCTGTGATAAGGTTTCTAAGTAGATTAGTGCCGGCGGCTCAGGAAGGGACAGACTAAGGACTGAAAATTCAATAGTTAGCAACATTCCCAGGGATGTGGTAGCACCCTAAGGCCTTTCCCAAGTCTTGAACAGAACCCCGAGACATAAAAATTAGGCTGTCTCTCCCTGCCACATTTCCCCCTGGGGGAAAAAAACTTTCAACTTTGGCATTGATATAATGCCCCAAAGGGGTCCCTTCTTTGATTCCTCATTGAGGCACACATATCCCTCCTCAGTGTGTACATGACCTTTCCAGGAACTTCCTAACTTTAGGGAAGATGTTCCTCAATCTAGAGATGCTTGCAAAATGCCTTTGGGTGGGGACAGTGGCATAAAACTGGGAAGCACTGATTTGAGAGGTTGTCTCCAACCTATATAAGAAAAACACTGACAGCTGAGCCCCCTAAAAGAGAAACAGAACACATGGAGGCCAGGTAAGTAGATAAGAGTTTGAGGCTCCAAGGCCTGGAGATATTTTTGATGAGGTGATCCAATCTTTTAGTAAGTGTTTAGCCTTTATCCTTCTGTTTTCTTATCAGTGGAGTTGAGACAAGGAACCATCAACCTAAAAGGAGAAGTATATTTTTAAGGTATCTGCCAATGTTTACCACCAAAAAAAAAAAAAAAAAAAAAAAAAAAAAAAAAAAAAAAAAACTGGGGATGTAGCTTGGTGGTACAGTCTTTATCTAGCATTAGAAAAGCCCTGGCTTTGAACCCCAACAATATAAAACAGTAATAACACTTAAGAGGAGAAGGGTGGAGGAAAGGGGAAGGGAGAGGAAGAGCAGAAGAAAGAAGGAAAGAAAAAAAACAGCTATTTTCCATTGCTGTAGTGACTTTGCTGTGTGCCAGACCTGCTGGCCATTTGTACCCTAGGCAATTATTAAAAGATGCCTATTTAACATAAGGACTATCAGGTATTGATCCTGTTTATATACATACATATATATATCATGGGCTTGTGTTTATAGACTCTCTACCTCAGTGGTCCCTAAAGACCACAGGAAGCCAGTGAACAGGAGAGCTGGTGAGCTTTGTTGCTAGAGGAGACAGAAGGTAAACAAGCCCTCCTTGTTTAAAATGGAGGCAGATTAGGGACATGTGATCCAAGAGACCTGGAGGCAAGACCGGGGAGGCTTTCCTGACCTCATCTCTATGACCTGCAGAGACCTATGTTTGTCCTGAGTAAATGGAGTTCTAGGGAGGTGGAGGGTAGATTTGACTCACACAGAGACCTTAAATGTCACCACTGGAGCTCCCTTCTCTGAGCCACTCAGCACAAGTGCTAAGTGTATTCATTCCCCCACCTAGCCATCACCCTGCCTTCTCCAGGCAAGGATTGTTGGTGTTCCCATTTTTACAGCTAAGGCTGCTGAGCCGCAGAAAGGGAGACTGCTTTATCCAAACAATGCAGCCAGTAAGTGAAAGAGAGAGGGCTTTAACCCAGGTGGACCTGACTGCAAAGTCCATGCTTTTTGTCCCACTAGGTTCACGCAGTATATTTGTGAATGTATGTGTGGCAGTGTCAGGGGCAGGGGACCTCTTTGGACAAGGCCATGCACTAAGCCTGCTCTCACCTTTCTCCCTCCTAGGAGATGAACATCCAACAGCTCACCACCTACAGGAAGAGTGTCATGTCCTTGGCCGAGGCAGGGAAGCTCTACAGAAAGGACCTGGAGATTGTGCTCTGCAGTGAGCCCCCCATGTAAAGGGGTGAAGGGACAGGGGCTGCTTCTGCACCTCCCCTCAACCCCGCCCCACCATCCTGTCTCTCTGACACTCCTTCCCAGACCTAGAGAGCAAGACCTTCCCTTCCCCACCCCTGTAACCTGCACACACCAGCCTGTGGAGCAGGAAAGAAGAGCTGGAGACTGGGTGGCTGCTAGCGTTCCTCCGAGCTGCACCAGCCCAACCCTGGCCACATGGACAGTTGTGCTTGCAGTGGGTCACCAGCCACATGGGTGGTGGGTGGGGGCACGGGTGGGGCTCCCCTAGTCTCTTCCGCTGTGATGCATGAGCTCCTTCGCTGTATGATTTAGGCTTCAGAGTCCCACAGAGTGGACTCTTTCCTCGGGCTGCTCCCTGCCCTTTGCCCCAGGCCACCCTCAACCCCAAGTTTCCAGGTTCTGCCCACCAGCTTGCTAATGATGTAGCTGTCTTCTCAGAGTTCCTGTTGTGGAGGGTGACTGCCCTCTTGTGTTCTTGACTTGTGTGTTCCTTTCATCTTTGGGTTTCCTGTCTTCTTGTTTACCAAAGAAGAGTTTACAGAGAATAAAGTGGAAATGTTCTGCCGTTGACACTCACCCACTTCTTGTCATGGGCAGCATTTTGCTGGGACAAAGGGTCATAGTGATGGGGAGGGTACTGAGGCTACCAGTTTGGGGATTAGGCCTGCCAAGATTCAGCTGGGGGTGGTGGCACATGCTAGGAGGATCGGGAGCTCAAAGACATCCTTGGATGCACAGTGAGTTTGAGGCTAACCTCAAAAACAGAAATGAGGCTGTGGTGGAGATAGCTTGGTTGGCAGAGCTCTTGCCTTGCAAGCACAGGGACCTGAATCCAACCCCAGAATGCATGTCAAAATGGCAGGTGCTCACAACCCCAACACAAGGGAGACAGAGACAGGAGGATCCCTGTGGGGTTCTGGCTGGCCATTCTAGACCAATCAGAGACCCTGTCTAAAAGCAAGTGGGTGGCATTTCTTAGGATGACACCTGAGGTTGTCCTCCAGCTCCATGGATATACAAACACATACACACACACCTGTACATAGGTGAACACACACATAGGAAATTTTTTTTTAAAGAAGACCTCAAAGCACTATGGCGCTCTCATTTACTATCCCAGTTTGTTTTCCTATTGCTGTGATTAACACCATGGCTAAAAACAAGTTGGAGAGGAAAGGGTTTATTTGGTTTATATGTTGCAGTCAATAATTGAGAGAAGTCAGAGCAGAAACTCGAGGCAGAAACCTGGAGGCAGGAACTGAAGCAGAGAAGAACTCTGCTCACTGGCTTGCTCATCATGGCTTGCTCAGCTTGCTTTCTTATACAGCCCAGGACCACCTGCCCAAGGGGTGACACCACCCACAGTGGTCTGGGCCTTCCCCTGTCAATCATTAGCCAAGGGAACACTGAAGGATTGCCCATAAGCCAACCTGAGGGAGGCAATACCTCAATTGAAAGTCTCCCCAGGTGACTCTAACTTGCCTCAAGCCGACAAATAGCAGCCAGCACATTTATCATAGCTTGCTTGTCCCTACACTAAGCCAAGTCATTGTTCCATGTTTGTTATGTTCCTGTATCTCAGATTATGTTGTAGTAGCAGTTTCTAGTTCATTGAAAGCTTGCTTGACTCCAGGTAATTATGCTGAATGGGTTACTTGGGTATCCCCTTAATCCTTTAAGAGAGATGCTGTGATTCTAATCTCGTCAGGGCAACTGGAGGTGAGTGCTGAGTACTGAGCTTTACATCCCAGGGCCAGTTGGGAACAGAGCCAGGGTATGACTCTAACAACCTGGATCCACCTTCTAAACCACTGTTTTCCTTTGTAGTAGAGATACCCATGGTCAAAGTGATCATTGCCCAGCAGCGCCTGATCAGAAACACCTGGCTGTTAGGTCAGCTTGACCTTTGGGTCCACAGAGCTAGCCGAGATCCTAGGATAGAAAGAGAACTCATTTTCCAAAGGCCATTATTGACTAACAGATTCATTTTAATTACACTGCTTTATTGAAACCCCAGCAATTCTGTGAGACAGATACTATACAGGTGAAGAAATGAAGGCTCAAAGACACTGAGTAGCTTGCCCAGGGTGTTATCGCTCCTAAATGGCAGTTAGAACTCACACTTGACTGGTCACCTGTGGAAACATCCTTCTGTTTAACATCCAGGAGCCCATCTGGAGCAAAAGACAAAGATTCTAGTCACATGAATCAGACATAACATGCGTTTCTTTCTCAGCCATGCCCATCTTTAAAAGAACCCAACCCTCTTCACACAGCAGATGGCCCAGCCCAGAGAGCCAGCTGAATTCTGCCCCCTCCCTTGTACCTGACTGGACATGTGTGGACATCTGATCCCTGTGGGCCTGTACCAGTCTGCTGGAACTAGATGTTTAGACTCACGCTGCCAGGCAGGAGGTATCATCCTGCAGTGGGTAGATGTATGGCTTTGAGACTAGAGGTGGTGCTTTGGTTGAGTTTGAATGCTGGAAAGAGCAGAAACTCTAACCTTGGAAGAAGAGGACAGTCAGCTAATAGTAAAGAAAATACACAGAGGTAAACTATGGTAGGAAAACCAAAGGCCAAAGAAGGATGAAAGGGAAGGGGGAAAAAGTGGAGGAAGAAAGGGGAAAGAAGGTGGAATGGAAAAATGGAGGGAAGGAAGAGGAGGAGGAGGGAGGGAGGGAGGGAGGGAACTGAAAATGTGGCATAGGGCAAGCCACCTAAAAGCATCTTGGATCCTCTGGTCTTTGGTTACTGTCTCTGTGGATGAGGAACCATTGTCCACACTCTGTGACCTCAAGCATTTGTTGCTCTGAAAGTCCCCACCCCGGGCAAGATGAGTGGAGCAGATGCCATAGCTTGGGATCTCAGAGTTGTAAAACTGGGTCCTGTCTACTTGGCTACAGCTCTGCACCGGCTGGGGGAGGC